AAGTCAAATATACAAAAGATATACACTATTTGAATTAAAAATGTATGTTATATGTATATTATACAATATAATATATATATATATATATATAAATTATCGGCTATCATTTTGATGGGCGGCTATTCAATGTAGTTTTTTCCAAATAAGTATACTAACTTTGCCACTATCCAATTTAGGACAATGACCAACTTAGGAGCTAGTGCTCTAAGAACACCTTTCCAATTTGAATGAGTTGTGATTTTTTTGATGGATTGTGAATTTTCGAAGGGTTGGGACTATTCTAATAAGTCGTACTAAGCATTTCTTCATACTATACTTAGTTGGCTAGAAATATAGGGGTTTCCTCTCTATTTTTCAACTACGAATTTTCCAAGTTTTCTACTCTTTTTGATCTTCTTAAAAACTTAAGTGTCATTTGCCGTCATTGAGTGAGTACAAAATTCAGCTAAATTTGAGGTACCCCACTATTCTGCTGAAGTAAATCGTTTTATCATGGGAGGATACATTTCATAACCTCATATATTTGAGGAAAATAACTTTCTTAAGGACATGCCGTAAATTCACTGAGCTCGATTTATCATTCCTACATCTTGATTTACTATTATTATTATTCTAGAATAGTGTTACTATTCATATTTCATTGAATACAAAATTTAGCAGATAACAAACTTCAAGATGATCATTCCAACAAACTTAGCTTATCCTACGATTTTGCTCGAATCGCTCATAAGCAGGTCGAGTTCTTAAGAACAACAATACACTTGAAACAAGTCCTAATATGGCAAGACAACCCCACCAAATAAAAGTTGAAAAGTAGCATTTTCTCCCCATACAAACTACTGAATCATTAACCATCTGTATTGAAAAAGTAGCAAAACCAGCAGCAGCAGCATTATTGTCATAAATAAGAGCAGCAAGGAAACCATAGACAAGTGATCCAATTGGGATATTTGTGATGAGAATGTTGTGGTTTACTCCAACACTATTTGGTCCAAAGAGTTCTGATGTTATTGACACTGCTGCAGCAAAGATGAATCCTGAACTCAAGCCAATTAGAGCTGTTCCTGCTTGAAGTGCTGCCTCATTTCCACTTGCTGCTACTAAGAAGAATGCTATTGGTGTTGGAACTAATGCTATTGCTAGCCATCCTGTTCTTGCAAAATAAAACTTCCTGCCAAAGAAATTCCTTCATTTTCAATTGCAACTCTAATTATAACAAATTCATGATCTAGAGTCAGTTGGTTCAGAATGTGGGTGATTTTATTACATGTATACATTTTTTTAATTTATTTTTTCACAAATGTATATATAGACCATGTCCTAAATCCACCTTTGCGCCTAATGCAACAACTAAAGTCAGTATACAGAGTGTCATGATCCATTTCCTCAATGGGGGAAGTCAGGAATATCGCCTAGGGTGTTCAAGTTTTAATATTTTAAAGTAATTTCTGGCCTATATATACAGTATAATATTGGTAAAACTTTGAAAATACACATCTAGACACATTAATTCGTCCTCATTGTGTCTCGCGGACACCTGACACTTAAGTTTAACGGGCAAACCTTTCACTCTATCTATGTGACTACACCACTGCATTCCCACCTTCCCTACCCTTTGATACAAAATATGAAAACAGAGGAAAAGTGAGGTTTTAACTTACAATCTGATGAAATCTGGAGCTGCAGAGAGCAAACGACCAAAGAAGGAGAAGGACGAGTACAAGGTAATAAGAGTAGAAGTCATTGAAGTATGTCCAAGTGATTGTGCAATTTGTCCAAGATTGTTACTATACACAAGCCCAATTGTTCCTCCACAAAAGTAAGCAAAATAATATAACCAAAAATCCACTCTTTTAACCAACATTTCCGCCTTATGTTCTTCTCCAAGCATAAACAACTGATCCTCCCCAATCATTTTCCCATAACATGATCCTTCATCACCATCTCCACTACTCCCAATAAACCTCGTTAGGCTTAATGTAAGAGTCGGTCCATCACCATTTACACCATAAGACGTTACACTAATCTGGCTATTCTCGCGACTAAGAAACTCTCTATGAAATTCAAGATCATCATCATCCACTAGAAGGAAGCCGGAACCTTGAAGAGTAAAACTAGAGAACACCTTACGTTGAAACCAATCGCGTGCATAAATAATCCCAGGAATGCCTAATGGAAGGACTAGTAATAAAATGGCACCACCAAAAATGACACGAGCAGTTGATAAATCATTTGAATGTACAAAGAGAAGATAGAAGCCAGTAATAATAGCAAGGAAATTTAGCAGGACGAAAATGAGCTGTTCGTGTTTGATGGAATCAGAAGGCAGGGGATCCACAGGGGGTTGTCGAAGAATTGGGATAAGTGATACAATTGAAGTGAATAGAGGAATGAAAGCATTAAGAAGAAGGTAAATGTGAGTTGAAGAAGGGTTTAATGAAATTGCAGCAAGGTTGTATAAGGCTGCACTAACTCCATTAAAACTTACAGTAAGTGCAAGTGCTAATGGTCTATTAGAAGGGAAATTTTTTATGCAGAGAACAAAACAAACTGTGTTGAACCATGTGATGCTGCTTCCAGCTAACAAGCATAGGAAAAATACCTGCAATGATTTGTCAATAGTCGTGAATTCGAGTTCGTACATTCATAGTGTGTTATTTAACGTTATAAACATTGTTGACATATGTAATATATAATTCGAGTTAAAAACATTAGGTTTGTTTGAACTCACAAAAATCGCGTTAATTATAAATCATTTGAATGTACAAAGAGAAGATAGAAGCCAGTAATAATAGCAAGGAAATTTAGCAGGACGAAAATGAGCTGTTCGTGTTTGATGGAATCAGAAGGCAGGGGATCCACAGGGGGTTGTCGAAGAATTGGGATAAGTGATACAATTGAAGTGAATAGAGGAATGAAAGCATTAAGAAGAAGGTAAATGTGAGTTGAAGAAGGGTTTAATGAAATTGCAGCAAGGTTGTATAAGGCTGCACTAACTCCATTAAAACTTACAGTAAGTGCAAGTGCTAATGGTCTGTTAGAAGGGAAATTTTTTATGCAGAGAACAAAACAAACTGTGTTGAACCATGTGATGCTGCTTCCAGCTAACAAGCATAGGAAAAATACCTGCAATGATTTGTCAATAGTCGTGAATTCGAGTTCGTACATTCATAGTGTGTTATTTAACGTTATAAACATTGTTGACATATGTAATATATAATTCGAGTTAAAAACATTAGGTTTGTTTGAACTCACAAAAATCGCGTTAATTAGTCCAGGGAGGTGAGTGATTTACAAGCAGTAAAGAAATAATACAGGATAAAACCATGAATTAATATACTTCTTTTTTTTCATTAATTTAAATGATTTATTTAATTTTTCCTTGAGGAAAAATGATTTTGTTTATTAGGATTTTTAAATGCTAACGGTTTGAAATGGACATATAACTGATGTAACATATGGAAAATTCTGGAGTTCATGGACCAAAGCAAATGGACATGCAGCCAGAATTTTCATTAAAAAGTTCAAAATATAGATTAGTAACCATATGAAGAAGTTGGAATTCAACATTTAATATACGTACATAAAAAAAATTAATTACAATACTCTTTATATCCCACTTTATATGAGTTATTTTTCTTTTTAGTCGGTCTAAAATAAATGATACATTTCTATATTCAATAACAATTTTAACTTTAAAATACTCATGATTTTACTCTTAATCAAATAATTTTTTACTATATAAATATCTATCACTTATTTTAGACCATAAATTCTTTTTTTTAAAATTATTTAAATTTTATATTGAATCAAACTAACCCATATAAAATTGAATGAAAGGAGTATAAGTTTTGTCGAGAGGACCTCGTACACACAAGATATAACCCATATAATAAAAGGACATGTGTCTCTTTTCTCCTGTTACTACCAAAACGTTGGGATTTTTAAAAAAAGTAGAACATTAGTTTGGACCACTGTGAATGAAGTGTCTGGTGTATTATATACCAGACTTATTCAGAGACACTACACCACGGCCACTAATATTTATGTGGTCTTAAATATCTGTAATTTATGATTTATAACACATAATTTTTACTTTTTGATAGACAGCTTAAAGTGAATTCAAAAGACTAAAAATAAGCTTACTAGTATATAACCTTTGTTTTGTCATGATAAGTAAAGGGATAGAATAATTCATGCTTTAATACTAGTAATAAAAAAGGATAAAAGAAAAAAGAGGCAACCATAAAGATATACTAGCATGTTCTGTATACTTCTGGTATTTATTTATTTATTTAGAAAAAAGGGTTTGGCTATTCAATGATTTATATTTTGACCTTTTACGGATTAAAATAAATATCTAATTGCTGAAGTTGACACGTTAACTATTTATTTAAATAAAATAATAAGCCCAACACAACGAATTCATTTGAAAACAATTACTACTAACATTAGTATAGATAATTATATTATGAATTAGAAATAAAACGTGATTAATTAGACAGCTAATTAAAGCCTAAAAATATCATTATAAAAAGCAATAACTCACTACTACTACAAAATGAAAAAGAAAAAAATATTCTTAATTTGACACTAGTGCACAGTGCACACTAATACTATGTTTAATATAGGTATATTTAACATAGCTCCAACTTTGGATGTACATAAATAGACATTTAAATTCGTATAAAATTGAACAAGTAGAAACATGAGTACTATGTGACAATGATATAATACACGTAGGACTCAAATTGCATGTAGGATACCCCACATAGGATGTATGTGTTTATTTATTCAATTTTATACAAGTCTAATTGTCTACTTATAAACACACCCAAAGTTAAAAAGATATAATTACTAACTGAAACCAAATTAAAGAATATAAATATAAATTGAAACCAACAACTATTAACGATTCTTCTAATGGTATTTTTGAGGACTTTCCAAGTCTTAACCCTTCCAGTAAACGTATAGTGGAACTTCAATCTGATATATGGGCGAAATTAGGAGAGTTGATGCCTAACAAGAGTGCCCAAGAAGTTCTGACCCTTTCACTCTTCCACGGACTGATACATGTACCGAATGCTCATACACCCAAAGTTAAAAAGATATAAATACACTAACTAAAACCAAATTAAAGAATATAAATATAAATGAAACCCGTAGCAAAAAAGATGGAAAGAATAATACTAACCACAAAATAAGGCAATGAAACGAAGTCAAGAATGATAAACCATTGAATTCCATAACCAAACAACCCCATAAAAGCAGCTACAAACATGACGGACCACAACGGCATATACATCAGCGCTAACCCCGATGACCATCCCAACGCTTTTCCGAGATCGGACGCAGTCGCCAGGTAGTTCAACTGAACCTGTGAAATTCCCAAAACAGCCTTCAACTCCGACGAGTAAGCTGAGAAGTCGAAATTCGTTCCGGTGAACGCTTGAATCCAGATAGTCGCTACCAAAATCATCCATTTTCGCGATTCATATCCTGTCATATTAATCACAAATGCCTACCTAGCTCGATAAAACTAAGATTTTTAGAAAAATAACTTATATTTGCGTTGTGTCCGGAGTTTACGTGGCCTAATTTATATGCGTTCGTTAATTATAGACAAAATACAAGTAGTCCCCCGTATGGCTTTTTTTGACCGTGATAGAAAATGAAGACATGAGACCTTGGTTATTTGTGTTTTTTTTATTGATATTCATGAGTCATGAAATACAATTCTAGAATTAATCCTGGTTGACGTTATGATGATGTAATCCGAGAGTAATTATTTGTAGAGTTGTTTAATCTGGGATTTTGGGTTCGAGTTTTTTGAAATAGAGAATAGTTATATTAAATGACAGTGTAAAAGCGCGAATAATATAAGGTTGACGTAGCATGTATAAATATAATAATTATGAATTTTTTATCTGAACTATTATTTAATGATTTGCAAAATACGAGACGTACGGTCTAAAAGGTAGTCTACAAAATAAATAAAAATAAGGAATTCAAGTCTTAGAATTTGGTAAAGTCATGTTCAAAGTTAGTTGATTAATTTTACATACTGTTTACACGAGGAGTAGGGTAAATTTTAGCTGTGTGCCTCCTTGTGCTGTTTAAGGTGATTGCATCACCGTTGTTGTATTTGAGGTTTGGTTTTATGGGTTCTTGTTTTTATTTTTAATTAAATGCTTAAGTCATATGCGACCTCTTAAAGTTATCCACATTTTTCGCTTAGACATCTGAATAAAGTCTTGTACCCATTGAACACTTAGGGATCGTTTGGTAGAGTGTATAAGAATAATGCAAAATAATAATAATAAAAAAGATAAACATGCGTGCATCTCAAACGCATATGCATACCAAATGGACCAATGAAACGAAGACACATGTCGATTGAATTAAATTTTTTTAAAACTCTATTTAAATAATTCAAAAGGAACTTCAGGAAAACAAAAATATATATTAAATTAACTCACCCCCACCCCACCCTTCTTCTTCTCCATTGGAACTTATTCCCAATTTCACAGTGCCGCTCTACCTCAACCGCTACTTATTTCCATTTCCAATGTCGTCGGATCTTAATTCCTAAGCATTGAGATGCTGCACCTCAACTGCCACTAAACCATAGCCTCCACCCATTTCTTCTTCTCAATCGAATCTTTTCTCTTTCACCGGCGTCAATAATACACCATTGTTATCCATCTAAGCTAACCCCTCAATCACCTTTCATTCTAATGGCATTAAACCTTTCATTCATGGTCTTCATCTTCTTTCACTAGTCATCATTATCACAATTACATGAAAAAATAATGAACTTTTGTCTGGAAAAAATAATCAATAACTTTGCTGGAATATTATTTTCATCGGAAACAATGGAGCTTTGTCGGAATATTTAAGACCTTAATTAGATCTACATATAAAAATAAAAAAAGGGAAAAAAATGGAAGAACAATTGGAGGGAGGAAGATGGGGAGAAGACGTTGTTTTTTTTTTTTTTTAAAAAATTATTATTATTATTATTTTTTAATTTAATTTAGGTGTATAAGTTGAAAAGAAAAAAAAAATATCATTTTTTATTGTTCCACGCGCTTAAGGAGGGTGTTGTACACACTTTTTGCCATGTTAGCATTTTGTGTCTAATTGGAATCACTTTTAAATATATAAAGTGTTCATTAGGTACAAAGCTAAATTAAGGTGTCTAAATAAAATTTACGGATTTAAGCCTTAATTAAATGACATGGTTTTAAATTGGTGACATGTGACCTCTTAAGAGGTCACGTCACATTAATGGTTTTTGGAAATTTGGAAATGGGTTCCATTAATAAATAAAAAGTGATACAAATGGACCTTTTCTATAACGGCAATGACATAAATGAGTCAAATTTTTAACGAACCATATAAATGAACCTTTTCTAATAGTTTGATAACATATTTGAGTTTTTTCCCTAAATAAAATGTATAGCAATCTCTTATTAAAATTAAAAATTATTAATAGGAATAAATATAAGTAAGGTAGGTTAGGCCTCATCTTACTAATTTTTCAAATAATTACTTCGTTGATCAATTGAAAAAAAAAATAGTTTTGGTAAAAATATTTAGGCACAATCCCAAGAAGAAAACGATAATTTGGAAAATTAATTTAGGAAAAAGAATTATTTAAACAGAGTTCAAGTCATCGACATGTTGTTATGTTTTATAGTGTTTTAATTTATCTCTTAGCTTTTTCTTATTTATTAGGGGAAGTTTGTCTCTCTTAAATAAAAAATATTTCTGGTATTTTCCATTCATTTGCCAAATGAGTGAATTATTAGAATTTATTTTTCAATCTTCAAATAAATTTCATGTTCAAATGCATCTCTACACGGCTTTCGAGGCTAGTGTGATGACATATTTGGACCTCTTTATTTATTCAAGGGTATATTTAAGACAACAAAAAAATAACTTCCAGTGTATATATATACTAGATATAAGACCCCGTGCCAGCACGGGGCCCAATATATATATATAATTTATGTCATATTATGGAATTTGAGAAGTTATTGAAAATTTTATATGATTTTTAAAATATTTTAAATTGTTAGCTATTGTGATTTGTAGTACTTTTTTTAAACATAATTTTGAAAATAATATTTATTACTCTCTTTGTTCTAATTTATGTGGCACATGCAGAATTTCAAATATTAACCCTTTTTTATATGTCTCTTTAATATATTAAGTTGTTAATTATTGTATTTTATACTACATTTTGAACCTACTTTTTTAATAATATATGTTATTTGCCATGTCCCAATTTATGTGGCATTAATTGATAGATTTGTTGGAGCTGAGAGATTTATTTTGTTAATTATTGTAATTTATAGTTTCTTTTTCGTCAATTTCAAACAATAAATGTTTATCATATAATGCATTTTATGTGGTACCAATAGAATTTAGAGAGTCAATTAAATTTTTTATATAACTTTTAAATATTTAAGGTGTTACCTATTGTAATGTATAGTATTACTTATATTATTTTTAGTTTCTTTTTCGTCAATTTCAAACAATATACGTTTATCATATAATCCATTTTATGTGGTACCAATAGAATTTAGAGAGTAAATTAATTTTTTTATATAACTTTTAAATATTGAAGGTGTTAATTATTGTAATGGATAGTATTACTTATATTATTTTTAAATATATTTAAATATTATATGTTAGGTTTTTTATCCTAATTTATATGGCATTGATAGAATTTAAAGTGT